CGCATAAATAATGTTTTTTGAATTGTTCAATAACGCGAACGTCACAATCTATCTATTATTGTATCGATGGGTTACGTTTAGACTACCACAAGCACGCAAATAAATATGTTGTGATGCGTAGCGTTTTAGACCACCGCATGCAATCTATCTATAATTGCATCGTTGGGTTACGTTTAGACTACCACAAGCATGTAAATAAATATGTTGTGATGCGTAACAATAAAATATTATTATTATATTTTTCATTAGTTGTTATTTTTTTAAATCTATACATATTATTAATCCTATGAATTTACAGTATTAAATAATTTTGAATAAAAAAAAAAATTACAAGATTATTTATAGCGTGCTCTAGATGTAAACCATCAGCGAAGCTGACGGGTCACACCTAGTTTCATTATTAATATTAAGGGTAGAGTTATACAAAATGACTAAAACAACACGATGTTATTTTGAATTTAATAAAGTTATTTATAACAGATAACAAAGTGTTTAAGTACTTCATGACTGTTAGTATTAGTATAAAGTATATATTAAAGCTTCAACTCCTGTAGTATATAAACTTGAACTAACATAACTGCTCAAAATTTTGAAATAAGTGTCAAAAAATTATAAAAAAAATAGTAACTACTCTCTATAACGGATCTTTCTATGATGATGATGATGATGATAATAATAATAACGGAGGATCTTGCTCTATAACGGACTGAGAATTAAGCCCAATTTATATGTCCCATATATTGCTAATGGACATTTTTTCATAAACCAAATGGTCCATTATAGAGAGTGAACTATATATTTACTATACTACAACGAAATACACTATTTCCCATCATTACACTCTTCATTTGCTTTACTTGGTTGTAATTCTATTAAAAAAAATAAGTAATTATGAGTATTGTGAATATTTAATCATAATATTAATAAAAACATATATCATTTGTGTTTTTTACCCACTCATTCGCAAGAGTTATTATTTTTTAAAGGTATTTTCTCAGTAACCTACAAAATACATGTTGGTTTTTTTGGTACTGAAATGAAGAGAAAACCTTGAAATATATATTTATAAATCTTATTTGTAGTTTTTTATTTTATTAACCTTCAAAGTGAAATAAAACATGATGTTACTCTCAAAAATTATTTTGATCACTTCTTATTAAATAAAAATATATGGTTGATCACTCATTATCATGTAGTTATCCTCCACAAAAAATATCTGCAATCGCCAATAGATTTCTAAATAAAGATAACACGCACCCAACCCACCAATAAAAATTGGATATTCTGAGGTTTCACAAAATTTGCGGATATTTTTTGTGGATAACTACACAATTATCAATCACCCTTAAACTTTAAAAAATATTAAAAATTTTGTGCAACTAATAGATTTGACCCTATTAAACCTAATCAACTTTTTTGATGTATATAATTTGACCCTAACACTAAATTAATTTATCCTACTAATGATAATTTAACCCTATTATAACTAATGACAAAAAATTTATTATATGTGTATATGAATTTGACTCCCTACACAAAGTTTAGATACTTAAAATGCACTTAAAATATACATCATATACTTAAAATATACTGATGGAAGAGAACAAGAACATTTTAAGTGAGTTTTAAGTATGTTTTAAGTATACTCAAAACACACTTAAAATATACTATATACTTAAAATATACTTAGTCATTATCATCACAATTGTAATGTGATTATAATTTAGCAGTTTTATAATGTCCCATTTGTTATCTTTCCTTTTTCTTAAATGTTATATAGAATTACCTCTATATAAAAATAGTTAATATGAAACTCATTTACATCAGGTCTACCATGGAACCCAAGAATTATAGTACCATTAGAAGTATTTTGAAAAAGGAACAAGGTGAAAAAAATGCTCCTTACATTTTCAAAATAAATGATACTCAGACACTAGAAGCTTATCTAAGAAAAGAAGGAATTAATTGTGAAATTTACCAAGAGGAAAGAAAAATAATAAACATCAAAAAAAGAAAACAAAATGAAAATGTGCTATTGTCCAACAAAAAGCAGAAATCCTTAGGAAAATAATCTCATTGTTATAGTATTGATTTATTTTTTATTTTTTGTTCTTTTGACAACATAAAACGTAGCAATTATAAAAACTATGTTTAAAGTTACACCTCCTATTCATAATAAAATAGATTTACCATCAAACTTTTCTTCTGTGTTCTTTGAAGTATTGTTTTTATATTCTGCTTTGATAAAATCTTCATCTTTTAAATCACTGACACTAGTCTTAAGATGGTAAAAGTTGGGACCTTGAATATGTCTGGTGGTTTTATAATCAGGAAGGACAAAAAATTTTTCTTTTTCTTGCTTAGCAAACTTTTCTTTGCATTCTGAAATAATTTCTGCAGAATCATCAATAAACATATCAAAATCAGGATGGTTAGTTTTTATTCAATTACATCATCTTGGAGTGTATTTAGTCTCATTTTTACTCTTTGTCTGCATGTAAATTTCACATTTTGTTTGAGGAAAATGGCCAAAGGTTTTTTTGAATTTTTCTTCCCCCCCCCCCCCTATATGCATAAGGAAAATGGCCATTCTTACGTTCTCTAAATGCACCTATAAGAACTAGTTCTTCAATTAAACTTTCCTTTAAAGCAAGAAAAATTTCTTTAGCTGGCGACAAGAAAGCAACTTCAAATCTTTGAGGAGAGCCTCAAAACTGAAGAAAGTTCTGTTAGTTTATATTTTTTGCTTTTTTCAAACTTTTCAACTGCTGCTTTTTCTTGTTCAGTTCCTTCAAACCCAATTATTTTATAAGAAACACCATAGTCATTTGGCTCAACAATAATGTTTTCTTAAACCATTCTGCAAAAGAAATATTAAAATTACCAATTTCATAAATGCCTGCTGATCTAGTTTTGATTACATTTAAATGTTTACTCGAAGACTGTTAAGCTTACCAATTTGGTAATTTTGACATATCCCGAATTTTTAATTTACCTGATAAAATAATATTAATATGTTAATGTTTAGAACTAAAAAAGTATCCGGTCTATTTATTACCAAAAAACATGCACAACAACACTGAATATATGTAACGCGCAAAATTTCATAAATAACCTTGATTATCAATATAAACTTTTTGAGAAAAGTAAGAATGTTCAGAATGTTATATATATAAGTTTTGTTTTAACGCGAAAAACATTTTTGTCCAGAGTGTATGTATTTTATTTGAAATACAAGGGTCTTTATTACTGTTGTATGTGAAATTGGAGTGGGGTAAAATTCTGATTGGCTAATTTGAATTTCACATATGTGAATTACGAATTCATATAATTTCATTTTCACGTACAACATTGCAAAAAGATTCTCTTTTTTTGTCATGAAAAATTTGCGTAATTAATAAAAATGAAATCAGATATATACTTTCTTTCAGGAAACGTATATTCGTTGAAATTATCTTGCGATCGTTTTTTATTGGAGAAAATTTAGAGCTTTTTTTAGATTAATAACCACTCAAAACAAAATTTTTACAAACTTTGAAGAGTCTGGAACGCATATATCACGAGATATTGATTTTAAAAAAAGTAGAAATAAAAAAATATTTTATTGATGAATTATTATGATTTTTTTCAATCGGCATTCAAATTATACCGTTATTAACTATTAGTTTATAGCAATATCTATCTATCATCGGGTGTTGAGGCTAGAGTCATAAACCTATTAGTTGATTTTTATCTTTCACATAATACATGTTATTTCCACATAACACAAGGAATCATTTTTTCAACTTTGGTTAGACTTTAGTCAAAAGTGCCTAATAGTGAATTTGGCATAATAAATACTAGTCAGCTTCCCGGCAATTGCAATTTTAGTTGAGATATTATATAAATATTCATCTCTATAAATGGCTTAATGCATCCATAATTGAAGGGGCACGTACATGACGTAAAATAATAGATTGTTAACCTTATTAGAAACAGATGAAAAATATAATCAAGATAATATAAATAAATTCATGTGCGAATGAAAAAAAGCTTAAGCTAAAAATATATCATAATGAATAATTGGCATACATTTTATCAATAAAATATTTCTCGCTCTCACACTCACTCGTTCTCTAAGCCATCCATAAACCTGATTATACATGCATAATATCAAGGGTCATTGTTGTTTATTCAGTACCCTACCTAATTTATATTACATAACATTATACTGCATTACATTACATAAGGTGATTGATTGATTATAATGGAACCAATTATCATACTTGATCCCAATCGCCCTACACCACACTTTACATTTTAATCTAGAATCATTATTTATTATTTTTTTCACACAACTATATTTTTTTTTTGTTATCATGACTGATTTAGAAGTACAAAAAAACTTTTTTACTAGATTTCCACATACGGTTACAAGTTCACCAATTTCGTATTACCTGGTTCTGATTATTTTATAATGACACGTCTAGTTGACGTTTTTACAAATACATGCCTAAAATTGTTTATTTAAAAATTTATTATAATTAAAAGCTCAAAATAAATCTCGCGTGTATTTTATTTATACTGTAATGACTTGTAAATGATAAGAGTTAATTTTCTTTTTAAATTTTCGAGCAATGTTATTACTATTGCCGTGAAGTTTAAAAGATGATCTTTACCTTACTAGAGATTAGAAAAACAAGTTCTGATACAAGTATTTTGGTAATGATAAGAGAAACCACACAAGTATAGTGATCCCGATTCGAAGAATACTTGTTATTATTGTATTCACTTACATATATTTTCTTGTTACATTGTCACATTAACAATGAAAACTATTTTTTTGTTAAGATAAGGTTATATCAACGCCACGTGTATTTATTTTCCATGTGACAAAATGATAGTTTTTGACAGAATCATATTAAAATATCGTAAATCGTTCCCTATTTTAACTATTAAAAAAGAATATAAGATGTCTGTTTTTTATTGGGATTTGCGTATGGACCTGTAGCTCTCAAAAAATGCCATTGTCAAATGGGGTATCTGAAGAACAAAATGGTTGTCTAAGTCATGTGCAGCTATTAATAGAAAAGCTTTCCGATGGTGAATTTCAACAATTGTCAGAATACATTCTAAAAAAACGCCGGAAAAAAGATATAATTTCAGGAATACAACCAATGCTAGCACAACATTTACTTTCTTTGATTGATCCAAAAACTTTATGCCTAATAAGAAGAGGTATTTAGATATATATATATATTAATATATTTAAATTTGGTTGATCCGATTTATTTACATAGTACAATTCTAATTAATTTTTCCAAAATAGTTTCTAAAGCTTGGAAAGTTCGTGCTACAGACAATATTCTTTGGAAGAAGCATTGTACGTCCGCCGATTTTCTTTCAGACATTCCTAAATCCTTTAAACATAACACTTTAGCTACTGATTACTATTTCCAGCTTTACAGACATAATGTTTTGGTTGAACAGAATTGGGAGAATTTTCATTTCACTCAAAATGTTTTCCAAGCTCATAAAGAAGGAATCACATGTATATCTGGTTCTGAAGATTTGTTTTATACCGGATCTTTTGATAAATCTATTAAAATCTGGCAACTACCTAGTAAAAAACATTTATCTACTTTAGATTATCATTCCGAAGCTGTTCAATGTTTGGCTTTAGGTAAATCAATATTAGTATCTGGTAGCTGGGATAAAACAATAATTGTATACACTATTGATAATAATTATTCAATAAAATATAGATTGCATGGTCATCTGGCTGGTATAATTTCTTTGACTATGTTTCCAGATGAAACTTTATTATTTTCTGGTTCAGTAGACAAAATTATACGTATTTGGAATTTACAAAACGGTGAATGCTTGCACAGACTTGGTGGAATTGGAGGAACAGTAGGTACTTTATCACTGATTCCCAAAAATCCTTCTCCTTCTTCAAATAACATCATTGATCATAATGAAGAACATATTCAATATTATTTGGTTTCTGGATCAAATGACAATTCAATTCTAGTTTGGGATCTCTGTTATGATGATGCTGACAATGGCAATGATACTCAAAAACAAAAATCATCATTGATCAAAAATATATCAATTAAAAAACCTCGAATAATTAAAAGATTAGAAGGTCATACCAGAGCTATCACTTGCTTGACATGGTATAAAGATACTTTGGAACAACAAATCGAATCATTTGATCAAGAAAATTCTTATTTAGAAGACAACCATCACAATAATTTAGTTCACATCAATACATCAAAATTTACAAGATCCAGGTCAGCATCACCAGGTGGTACCGATGTTTCTGAAGCTGGTGATTATATGGATCTAGATGATTTGAACTTGACCAATGATACTAATAATATTATTGATAGCAATGATAATGAACCTCAAATAGATAATGATAATTCAATAGAAGAAATAGGAACATCATCATCAAATATACATGACTCAATAGAAAATTCATTAAGAAATAATAATGTTAATAATGATCCAAATGTTATTGAAAAAATTAGAATTATTTCATCATCTGCCGATTCTACTATTCATATATGGGATTTTAACACAGGTCAATTAATTGGCAGTGCAAAAGATCATAATGACATAGTATGGGATCTTCAATGTAATTCATCTAGACTTGTTTCTGTATCTTCAGATGGATTTATTAAAGTGCGATCATGGCAAAACCGCAATGATGATAATACTAACCCTTCATCATCATCATCAAACACCAATCGAAAAAGAAATTGTATTTATAATTCACAAAAACAATATTTGATTGGACCATCTAATAATAATAATAGAATTAATAAGAACGGCTATAAGCATATCGTGTCAGATCATTTCCCACAATCTTATGACCATGAGAAAATCCTTTTTGCTCCAGCTGCTGCGCTTGTTGAAGTTGATTGCGGTATCAAGTGCTTTTTAATGACTCGCGAATGGTTAATTTGTGGAACGGAAGATGGAATTTTAATTGCTTTAGAATTTCGTTGTTAATTTATAATCGATCGAATTGAATTCTTTGTTTTTTTTTTTTTTTACGTATTTTATTTTATTTTATTTTATTATCGGAAAAAAAAGCGTTTTTAGTTTAGTTCGAGTAATTTACACTAAAATTTGTGTTGTTGTTGGTAAGATCATAAAAAAAATCTACATAAAATAATTAAGCTACTATATGCTATACACATTTTTATACGATATATTAAGATTATTTTAAGATTATATAAATAAAAACACTGGGTAATTTACCAGGTATGTGTTAGTGGTCGTATTACTTGTAAACAAGAACGATGATTCCTGGACCATACCCACAGCTGTGGGGTATTGTTAGTAGGGACTTAATGGATCACAGTCTGGGCCGTAGAGCTTGGATCTGGATATGAATGTGAATATTAATATCCGAATACTTATCCGCGAAGAATCAAGTAGGATTATAATAATAATACTTATCAGGCAAACAACACTATTAAGCTATTTTTGGTTGCTTTGTTATTTTAGGTACAAAATGATTGATATACTACAACATTTCTGTAAGATATAATTAAATCATATAATTAAACTTTAATAAACAGTGTGATGTTTGAAAGAATAGCTTAATAGTGATTGCCAGATAACATCGATATTGGGCGTGCGATGGACAATTTCAGTGACATCCAGGATGTCATGATATTGGCTGCTGTGTGCCCAATATCTTATACATATTTGAAAAAAAAATTTTTCCAGGCAACGAGTATCACGTAAGCTCGTACTAATTGATCAATAGGGAGGGGTTTTTAATATATATTAGACTGTAATTTGGCACGTCGAATTTTTCATATTTCTTTCATTAATATTAATAATTTTATTAAAATATATGGCAGCATCTATTGACTTGTAAGCTAAAAAAAAATTTTTTTTTATTTTTACAAGAATTTACCTGATGTGAAAGATCAATAGCATTGACTTATATATATACTTTGTAATAATTTCTAGAATCCCTTTTTTAATCGAGTGTTTTGCCATAGTTTTAGTGGTTATTGCATTATTATTTTATTTTAATAGGTTATTTGCATTAATTGTAAGTCGCTTAATAAGAATTTATACATGGAGGAAATATAATGCTTACATTGAAATAGGTAGAGTACATATAATCAATTCAAGTAATAAATTCCATCTTTATAAACAAGAAGATTACTTATATAAGTTTGTTTATAGGTTCAATTAAGTTTGCACCACTTGCAGGACGAATTTTATTCAGAAATTTTAAATATTATTCCAAAAATCAATCATTTATAATAGTAAAGGGGCACGTCACTTTTCAATATTGGCTATGGAATGTTCGTCAAGTGAACAACAACAACAATAATAACAATAACAACAATAATAACAATAATAACAATAACAATAATAACGACAATAATAACAATGATGGTACAAAATTCTTTGTACTTTGGAATAATTATTGTGATTTACTGATCTGATCTGATCTAAAAAATTTCTTCTTTTTTTATGTTTCTATAATCAAAAGAATTACCATGCAGAATTGTATGCCATTTTGATGGAATAGAATGGTTTGCATATAATAGGTCACCTGCTTATAATGTTCTTAATGACATTTTAACAACTTCAACAAATAATGGACCTAATTCAGATCAATCAAGTTATTCAGATTCACCAACTGATAGAGAGATTACTGGTGAATACTTTATATGTATATAATTTTATAAATCAATATTTAAGTTAATAACTTTGTGTAAATACACACTTATATATACTTTAGTGGATGATTGCAATGATCAAAATGAAAATGATTTTGGAAATTCATTTCTTTGCAAATTGTTACCAATTCAGATAGATTGTGAACGTGGTGCTTTTATAATTGGCAATCCAAAAACACCTTCTCTTCTGGTTGCTGATTTTTCACAATCAAGTGGTATATATGATGCTGTTAAAGTATATATTATCTATTATAGTATATGATTTATCATCAATTGAATTCATTGTATTTATTGTATTCATCATATAATATATATATATATATATATAGTCAAGGTCAAAGTTTGATTATTATAAATCAATAATACATTTAAAGTTTGGAGAACCAAAAATACATTTGGAAACTAATTTAGATTATAAAGAAACAAATTTAGACACAGGTGCTCGTATGGAAGAAGAAAATATAATAAATGTGTGAGTATTTTATATATATACATCTTATTCATAAATATCATAAGAATACTAATGAAAATAAATTTTAAAGATCTTCTACTGACAGAGGAAGTGTTTGGTCACCTTTGAAAAATAAGGTCTTTAAACATTTGCCATTCTTAAAAGATTCTAGTTTAGAAGATATTACTGAATGGCATGGACTTCCTAGATATCCTTTATTATTATTGGCTTGTTCTTAAATTATTTTTTTTTGACAAAAGTTAATTCCTTAACAAATTTAATAAAAACACATATCGCACTGATAGTAATTCACCTGATGACACCATTAATGGGGAGTATGCAAAAGAACAAAACATCCTTGAATGTTTAGGACTAGAATTAAATTATTATGCTGATGTTGCTGGTGAACAATTTAATTCATATTTATATTTATATATATAATTGGTTGTAATTAAATTAATTATTTTTTTCAAATCACCAGGAAAAGTTCCTTCTAATCCAATACCAATAACAGATAATGAAGAAATGGATATAGGAAATGGAGATGTATCACCAGAATGGGGTGTTGAACTTGTTTTTTCAGGTGCACAATTAGCTTATGGTCCTTGGGCAGATCGTCAAAGGTAATAAATACAACATAATAATAGCACTGATAAAACTATTTATGTTAGATTTTGTTATTAAAAAATCAATATTTGCTTTATTTACAAATTGAAAAAAAAACAGAGCATTTCTTCAAAATTTTTTCTTTCCACCTTTATACCGTAATACTGAGCATACAAAAAGATTAAAATTTGGTGACACTAGGTTACATACTTCATTAAAGATTCAAATTCAATTTGATTGCCCATTCACTTTTAAAGTTCCATTTAAAGAAAATTCAAAGGTTTATTATTTCTCATATTTTGTATATTTATTTATTTTTGAATTATCAAATGATTATTAACATCGAGATCTTTTTTTCACTTTTCATCATTTATTAAAAAACAAAGGATTGGAAATATTCACAAAATAATATAATATTTCAAGGTTTTAATGGATCAAGACCATGTGGTTGGTTAGAATTTAAAGTTGATAAAAATGCAATAATTAATATAACATTGCCAATGGTGTATCCAAAGGAAGGGTATTCTAATAAGGTTAAAATATTGCTTGAGGAAATTAAAGTGAAAACAAGTGTTAATCGTCATTCACAATTGATCTATGCAAAACAATGCAAGGTATTATTTATTTAACGCATATACATATAATATTTTTTATAAATTAATTGTTAAATTAATTAACTATAATTATAATTATAGTTAGAGTGCAATTTGCCAAGCCCTTTAGCTTGGAATGAACCACGCATATGGTCATTTGATATTCATTTTTTGGATGCACAAATATTTCTATTGAGAGATTACATAACACTTATTCAAGATTTAATAAAGGATTGGACATCTGGTCCTTCACCTGATCAATTACATTTTATCCCAATGGAATATCAACTAAATCCTCATTTCACTAATTTTAGATTGTACCTTTATGTAAATGAGAATAATATTATAGATGATCCAGCTGATATTGATGATAATTGTATTATATCTAAAAAATATTATTTTAAATAATTGAATGATTTTAAAATAACTATTAATTATATTTTTTTTATTTACTAAAAAATTTGTTTACCAAAGCTTTTATAATTATAGAAGGATCACAATTAGCATCAAATGTAGTAATTCCTTTATTACGATACAATGAGTTAATTACAAAAATAATTTTTGGTTTAGAGGTTTGTTTTAATTAAAATATGAAATATATTATATGCACACGTATTATTTTTTATATTATTCACTTATCCAATTATCTGATTATTAAAATCACAATAATTATCACCATTATTATAAGGTAACAAAGGCTACAACCACTACATCACCTAAAGTATCACAAACACTTGGTGCTTTTTTGTCAGAGGATGCTAAAAAATTTGGGCAAGTCAGATTCTTTACAGTTGAAGGTTCCTACCAATATTATAATACTGTAGATCCAAATCATGTTGAATCCTTATCATTAATGATGAAGGTATATTTATTATTTGTTATTTATTACTACCTGTAATTTATTAATAATATTATAAATAACTATCATAATGGGCTTTTCAGGGAAATGACGTTAGCTTAAAACTATTTGGTTTTGTAATTCGATATTTTTTAATTCTTCAAGCAAATTATTTTGGAGCTTTTATAAATTTCATGACATTAGATGAATATAATGACTCAAAAAAGCAAAAAAATCATTTAGAATATATAAAAGTAATATTATTCATATCCATGTTATTCATTCATATATTTTTCATATATTTGTTCGTATATTTACTTATTAAATTTTATATTTAAAGCCACTAGCAGACCCATTCGAAGTTTATATGGCCATTATTATTGAAAATGGTACTTTATATCTTCCAGAGAATTTATATGACGCTCAAAAGAAATCGGTAATACAATTTCATGAATTACAACTTGATTTAAGAAATTTAGATATTTATATGGGTCAGTGTACATGTTTATCAAAAAAACTTGGTCATTATTATTCTTTAATTTAATTTAATTGTTAATATATGTATATATATTTAGATATGGATATTACTGTTAGTCCATTAACATGGACTCTATGTCCTGAGAATGTTAATACTAAAACCAATTCAAGATCAAAACCACCAAAACCATTAAAAGAATCTGATAATTATTTATTTATAAATGGTATAATAATAATAATAATAATAATAATAACAATTTTTCTAATTATAATAAAATAATAATTATCATATATTTTTAATCTAGATTTAAACATATATGCTCATCGATTATTTGGACCGTTACCAGAAACAGCAACATATGTTTGTAACTGGGATATAAACATTGACACTATATCTGGACAATTAAAACCATCGTTTTTAATAAGTGCTGGCTCATTTGTAGAATCATTTGTTTATCATTATATTGATGATGAAAATGCGCTGCCTGCCGAGTTTGCGGCTCCTTTGTATCCCGATGTGGTTTTTGTAGATTTTATCGTAAAAGAAATTGATGTCTCCATTTGGTGTCGTGATAGTAGAACCCAAATACTTCTAAAGGAAGGTCTTAACGTTAAATTTGATGATTTGGCAAATGAAAAATTCCTTCAAAGAACTGTCGTTAACCTGCCAGATTTAGTAATTAGAAGTTTGGCAATGTCATCATCATCGTCTTCTTCATTAGCTGCTGCAGCTGCACATGATATTAACAAAGAAACGGAAACTCATCCTTGGGTAGAAGTTGCAAGTCTCGAATGTGCTTTTGACGTGACTATATTTCGTACCACGTCCGGTTGGAAACAAAAACTTGAAAGTCAGCAGGCTTTCATCAAAGAACAGGATAAAGAAACGCTTAGAGTACCATTTCTTTATGAAAATAGTCCTGATAATTATGAAGGTATTGATTATAATAATTGAAACTCTTTTTTTTTGTTTAATTGGAATTCCGATTCCAATCCTAATTCTGATATAAATTGCTAACCTTGAAATAGATCTATTGGAGAAAAATGGACGTCATTTTGGTTCTTTATATGTTCCACCTATGCCAAGTCCATTAACAGGTCTATAAAATTTTCTTTTTTTATTTGGTCTATATCATCACAATTATATTTATATGTGTATTTACAAATCATTTCTGATCATATTAGATGAAAATGATATGGGTTCTTTGCTTTACAATGAAAGTACCAATTCATCAATGATAGATTTATCTGAAAATCAAAATAGAAATGATAGACTAGCTCCTTTTAAGAATTATGGTTTTTTAGGTCGTGTAGGGGATGATGACGATGATTCAAATGATGGAATGGACAATGATAGTTGGTCAAGAGATGATGACGATAGGTTTATTTTTTTTTTTCCTTTGTGAATTTATGTTTATATACATTGATTGATATAAGTTAACTTTTTTTTTCTTTTTTTCAAAGTATTTCTATGGTTGCAAGTTCTGAAATTAGTGTATCCGAATTATCATTCAAAACAGCTTTTGATGGAATTCATGACAATGATGATGATGAAAATGATAGTGATAATTCTGATGGCACTTATATTGTTAATGCTGAAATCACTATTGGTGATGGTATTTTATCAATAATAATAAAATAAATAAATAAATATGTATTGAATTGAATTGAATTGAATTTTTAACCCTATATGTTTACTCAAAATAACATATATATTATGTCTTTAAAGATAGTACAAGAAATAATGAAATTGAAGCACAAAATTCAGCAAGTGACCTAATCGATGATACATCTACACCAATAAAACGATCTATTCCTTATGGTAATTATCTTAGAAGGTTTAGGTTAACCTCAAAACAACATCCTACTTCTTCACTCACCAGTTCATATTTAAGACCTTCCCAATTACTATTTATTCCAGCTAAGGTAACCTTATTTTTAACTTTATTATCATAACTTTATTTTATAAATTTTAAAATGAGAATCATTTTACTTTGTTCTAAGGAAACAGGGTTCATATCAAATGATGAAATTATTGATCACAATTTCAAAATTTCGTCATTTTCAAGAATTCTAAATGAAAATAACAATAAATATGATAAATTTTTTAATGATGATGATAATGAAATTTTAATAAATGAATCACAATCATCGCAATTACAACCTATGTCTCCTATTACCACAACCACCAATGCGCAAAAGGCAACAGAAGAAAAAACAACTATTGTTTTCGAAACTATAAAACCAATTAAAGTTCTTTTAACACCAATTTTTTTAAAAATTGTAGAGGAATTTTTGGAGGATGTTAAAGATCAGGTGGGCAATATTTTTTATCTTACTCCATATTTATTTTATATTCTTGTTTAACAAACAAAGTTATTTTGTATGTTTAATAGAATTGGGATATTGAAGCAATGCTTGATGTGATGCAGATGCATTATATTGGTGAACTTACTCGTCTATTTCCATTTAAATATAAGACAATTTCGTTCGCCATCTCAATTCCACAAGTTTATCTACAATTTATTCAAGATGTTCTTTTACCAGGCGATTTGACTAATGCTAACGATGAACATCCAGGAATTCGAACCAGATATGATATAAGTGACACGACCTTATGTGCAATGGCAGAAATTATTTTAGTTCAGACATTGTTAACTGGCTTGGTGAAGTTTGAAGACAAAAATTATAATAGTATTAATATTAATAATGGTGGTAGTAATATTAATAGTAACAATACAAAGGGAAAACCAAAACAATCATTAGAAATTATAGAGTCGAGAGCCAATCTAGACTTTGATTATTTGAAACTTAATGTGATATTTGTTGCTGAATCCAATCGTTTCCGGATATTTGGAATTCCTAATTCAATGAACCGCTTCAAAAATACAAGTTTCCCACCAACAAGCTCTTTAGACAATGAAACAGTTGTGTTGGATCTTGTCTTGAAAAATTTAAAGATAAAATGGATAGGGTGTATGCAACCAAACTATTTTTCATCTGATCTTACGGATTTAAATGGCCTATGTATCAAACAATCTCCAGAAATTTTAATTGGTGCAATTTACTGGTGGTTGGTATTTGCAGAAGATTTGACCAATCTATTAGACAAGTTCAAATCGCACAGAACGAAAAAATTACAGTCTCTTATTTATGAGATTGCAAGATTTTCAGATTCTGGCAATGTTAATAGTGATCCATTTTACCTGACATGTACATTAAGCACTTTTCGACTAGGAACAAATAATCTCAAGTGCGATGATGGATGGAAAATTTTAGGTCGTGTTAGACATTGTAAAAGAAATATGCCTGATAAGTTGGTAGATCAATTACAAAATAAGTTGAATTCTGGTAATGATAATAATTTTCAATTCATGATGGATTCATTAGAGATGTTCAAATACGTTACAGGCGTTTTTTCAAAATGTAAACATTGGAAAATTGAGAATTTATCCGATTGCCAATTATTTACCAATCTCTACAAAGTGATAGTAACTGAAAATTCTGATAATAATAATCTTATTAATCAAATCCAAAAATTTCTAACCAGTTCAACAAATCAAGCTAAATTAAGAATTGGCAATATTAAATTATCGATTCTGGAAGGTGAACTCGAGAATTATATTGATATTGGATCTATAATGTTTGATTTCCAAAGTTTATATCAAAAAGATGTTACCACACCATCACCACAGCCTCTTTCTGCTGAAATTTTTGATCAAGAATCACCTCATAATTCAAATAATAATTTGTTGTCCACCGGTTACTTGGATATTCTCTTAAGATTCGAAGTGGATTGCATTGGTGTAGGCGTGAATCCTGATATGCTTGCATTTGTAAAACATTGGCTAAAGGTACATAGAGTATTTGCCTCAAAGTTTGAGACTTTATCAAACAAGGGTAAACCGCCTAATTTTGAAAATAATGCAACAAAAACATCACCATCATCTATATACAAATACAAATCTGCTACACCTGCTAATACTGTCAGCAGTAATAATTTACACGAGATTAAAATGGCAAAAGGAAAAGAAAATAAATCCAAAGATACACGTCCAGAAACATCATCTACATCGCTTGATTTTAAAAATTTGTTTACAATACTCAATTTATCTATGCACAATACTATCTCCTTTAAAACAATCACAATCACTGCCTCAGCACAAAAATTAACAGCTCAAACAAAATTATCAAATATTCATCTGTCAGCTTGGTTGAATAGTCCATTTCATGCACTTGACAAAATTGATGGAGAAATTGATTCGCTTAATAAAAGTACGTCACAGTCTGGTTCAAAAGGAAGTAATAGCCGTGTTTCAAATAGTTTGATTATTTCGGCCATTGGTGGTATTGGTAATATTTCTAATAACATCATTGAAAAAAGTTACTCAGGCTACAACAATACGTTGCTGTTCATAGAACTTTCAGGTATTAGCATGAATGTTGTACTGAGCTTGGCAACCTTTGGACGACCAAAAAGTAAAATTGATCTTGAACCACGTAAAGTCTTGAATATTCTAATAACACTTCAAAATATTTCTTTTAAACTTCCACAAAGTCTTCTCAAGCTTTATAATTTTGTTGAAGAATGGAGGACTGAAAATCTTCCAAGCTATGACTTTTTATATAAAGGAGTGTTGGGTGAATTGGATGAGCAAAAGAAAATGATTTCAAAACATCCCAAAAATCATGAAAACCATGAATCTCGTACTTTTGAAAAAAACATGCTTACAAAAAACGTATTGGAAATTAAACTTCAAATTCTCTTAAAAAAATTTTCAATTCAAACTCATATGTTGCCATCACTCAGATTTCAATACGATGCATCTGATTTATTACTTGTCTTGGAACAAAATAATTTTATTCATGGTGATAGTATAATCAATTATTCAGGACAATTATCAAACCAAGAGATTAGATTCATCACTAGGAATAAGAGCAAAGGCAAATCAACATTTGAAAACTCCATTAATGAAGAAAGGGATGCCGATCATAAAAAAGCAGCATTTACTATACCGGAAATTAGAGCAATTGGTAAATTGAAAACGTGCGAACCTCAAAAATCAACAGCTCTCAATAAAAAAGTTGGTTCTACTACAGCAATTGCTGGTATTACTTCTTCAATTGACAAGAAATATTCAAAATTAGAATCAGCCATCACTTTAGATTTAGTCAAATTGAGCCTGAATGTAAATATTATTGATAATTTGTTAACTGCTCATTCACTTCTTGGTAGTGAGTTGAATGATGTATTGGATGTGTTTTTATTTTCTTCTAAAAGACTTAAAGAGAAATCTTCGAAAGTTAGTAGTAATTTGTCAACAACAACAGAGTCATCGTCATCCACAATCAACATATCAAGTAATGAAAAAGATTCTTTACAATATAATTTTGAAATATCTTTACGAGGATTGAAAATATCAGCAGCAAGTCCTACAGCTGTTGTGTTTTTTGAAACAAATGTTCTAAACGGATCAATAAAAAATGTGCCTGTTGGAGACGGGTTAACAAAAGTGGAATGGAAATTTTCTGCTCAAAATTTTTCTCTGTCACTTAATCACAATTCTGGTGCAATTAGTAAAGTAATAGCAGATGATGATATTCGTAAATATAGGATTGCTTATATTTCAATTGATCTTACCTTACAAAACCATAAACAGAATGAACTAAATACAAAAAAGAATCATATATTTGCACCAGATGATTCGTCTGAAATCGTTGAATCATATTTTTTGAAGTTGTTGAAAGTACACGCAGTAATGCAACCAGTTGCTTTAGGTCGCCTTATTGATTTGTATTTGTATTACAGCGGCGAGTTGAGACGAAGAAAAGAACTAAAAGAGTCAGATATAAATAAATTGGCGGAAAACACTCGTAAACTATTACAATCGCTCGAAGTTGAAATGCCAAAATATAAAGCAACTAGCAAATCTTTGTTAAATGAGAAAGTCTTATCACTTGAGGTCAATAAATTTGCAATTGCACTTCCGCTTGATCTGCACGAAGAGTTAATGGCAACAGCAGTTGAAAACTCTAGTGATGTTCCAACTAAATCACAAGTTCCAGCATTTCTTCTTACAGCAACATCAATGAAGTTTATTACAAGAAAATGGAAAACAAGTAATGCAACATTAAATGATCTTTGTATTCAATTTGTTTCAGAATTTGATCAAGGAAACGAAAACCTTTTCAATTCTCGTGCCAAAATGAACCGAATTTATATTCCCGAAATATCATGTGAAGTGCAAATGATTGGAAGCGTTGACAAGAAACAAATTGGTGTTGATTCACGTGTTGAAGGATTTGAAGTAGATGTTAGTGGAAACATTGTTAATTATGTCAACAAGTTGGGTGAAATCTATGCAGATAGCAAAGAAAGATTAGAAACTTTTACTGCAGAAGCAAATTTAAATTTAGGGTCTCAATCTAAATCTGTCCAGGAGATAAAAAATGGAAATCCATCATCAATTAACAATAATTCAACAACACCAAATGTAATAAATTTAATATTGTATGCAAAGTTTATTGCTAAAAGTGGAATAATAAAACTATATCCAAAAAATTATGTCAAAAAAAATCATTCAAGAAATAATACATTTTCAAATAGAGTCGCAAGATCATCACATGATTCACGTGGAAGTGCAGCTTCTCTTCCTCGATTAAATTTGGATGGGATTGGTGGTTATTCACAATCTAATTTAGATGATATTTCAAGAAAAGGTGAACAAGGTGTTGATACAATAATTATACCGGGGCTTAGTTTGAATACAATGTATCAGGCTATTATTGGTCAAATAGTTCAAAATGCTAACGATTCACCAAAGAAAAGAATACATATAGAATTGGTAATACATCCGAGCGAAAATATATTATACCCATCACTAGTATTATTCTTCAAGGATATAATAGACGGTTTAAAAATTGGTGTACAACATTCTAGTGACAAAAAAGCAATTGCGATACAAGATAGCACCTTACCGATACAAGGCTTGAACATAACGTTTTATTTTAGACTTTCTCATACCACATTTAATCTTAGTTGCAAGCCTACTTCAAAAGTATTTTGTTTACTAAACTGGGAAGAAGGAACTTTTTTGATATCATCTAATACTGTTGAAGAAGGTCAAAGTATAACATGTATTGGTAAAATTAAAGGAGCCTCTGGAAATATTCGACACACCTTTTCACCTGAAGATTGTGTTAAAGCTGAAACGAAAGATATTTCATTTAGTGCAACTTTGATGAGTAGACGATCTGAAAATATTAATGATGATTTTATTTCGATTATTGTAGAATTTCCTAGAATTATGGCCGAGTTGAACATTAGACATCTTCAAGACTTAATGCTGCTCAAAACGATATGGTTAGATCAAACGACAAAGCTTTATGAAAGAAATTTTGGAAATTCAACAACTTCAACAACTATCAATAATGATTATGATTATAATAATAATAATATTAATAATAATAATAATGAAAAAGAATCATCATCATCATCATCAGGAAATTTACAATATTCTGAAAATATTGTTAAACCATATTCGGTCTATATACTTGTAACGTTAAAGCAATTAGATTTATCTAGCGATTTAGGTCAAGCAATTGGCAAAGTTGATTTTAATTCTAATAACATCCAAATGAGAACTAAAAATATACCAGGGAAATTAAAAAAATTCATGATATCAACAGATACTCTTGATATCAATTGTGAAGGTCGTCTTGTAGGTACTGTAAATATGAGTGGATTTAGTTTCCTAACACAATTAGGAATACCACCACAATCAATAGATGATGAACCTACCCCAGTTACAAATCTGTTTTTTAGAACTGAACGTCTTCAATCCTTGTTGGAATATGAGTATCAAAAAATACTAATATTAGAAATAGATCCTATACAATTTCAACTAACAGATAATTGGGATATCAAATCTTTTGAAACTGCGAATGTATTGATTCATGCAGATGTAAAGCTACAACAAGTTCAAGCTATACTTGCAATAAAAACAGTACCTATATTTCTTCGTATGGGCAATAGACTTTTAGCATTGGTTGAAGAAAAAAGAATGGCAGCTGCCAACGTAATATCTGATTTGGAACAAACCAAACATCTTAATCCCACAAATAATAATATTACACAAATAACAAGTGTTGCTACTCCAGAGAAATCAATTAATAAAGTAACAACAAAAAATAAACAACAACAATTGACATTCAAAGATTTGTCCATTGGAGGATTATCGATTAAACCTACTGGAAAAATTTCAATTTTCATAGAGAAAGCTCATATAACAATATATCCAAATCATTTTCATGATTCTGGTTGCGTTCAAACAAGTTTTGATAAACTTTCAGTGGATATGAAAAGATCGATAGACAATGACGAAAGGATTAATAGATTCCTTGATATGAAAATTAATGGCATTGCTTTATTAAAAAGTACATGTAAAAAATTAAAAATTACAGATGAAAAAGAATTTTCATTTCAAAAATGGTTTGAGCATGTTGAAGCAGCATCCAACAAAAATATTTTTACTTTACCTAGTACACATCTAACAATGGATACTATACAAGGAATAGAAAGTAATGTTGTAGATCACAAATTCTCAGTAGATTTTAGTGGAAAGGTTGACGTTGCTTTAAATTTTGGACTAATTAGATATTTACAGGAATTAAAAGCACTATACAAAGAACAAATAAAGAAAAATAATGTTGGAGTTTTTGATTTTCCTCGATCACCAATTATATCACCAGTAAATACATCATCAGACAACACCTTTACAAATACTGATCAACAACAACTATTAATGCCATCATCAGCAACTAATGTTTCTTCATCTAGTAAAGATGATGATGATGATAATAATAATAATAACAGTTCTACTATTACAGTGAAATCAAATGAAAATAAGGATAAATCAGAGATTCAATTCAATCCTATAAAACCTGTAAAATTAGAGCCACAATTATTTATTTTAGGTGATGCAACGCCACCATTAGAATGGGTTGGTGTTCAACGAGCAAAAATTCCAGGTTTGGTTCATACCACTATAACAATGAATTTAGATGAGATCATAAATCAAATCACCAATGAATCTTTTAAAGCAGCACAAGCATTACTATAGTCTTCACTATATATATATATTTGATTATTTAGCTATTTAATGTATAAAATCTTTTTTTTATTTTTTAATTGTATATTATAAAAATAATATTAATGTTGAATGTAACGAAATTTGAAATAAATAATTTAATTTAATATGGAAATTTTGAAGAGAAAATTTGTATGAAAACTAAGGTTGTTTTTTCAAAGAAACGGTTATATAAAAAAGTTTGTTTTTGAAAAAGAATTTAGTTGAGGTTAATTTTTTAATTTTGACATGCCAATTTAATTTAGTGATAATGTGTTGCTTGTGCGTTATGATTACTCTTCTATGGGATGTTCTTGTAAGGTAAGAGAATATTCCTTCCAACAATGGAAGCTTAGCATAATGAACAATTAATTCATTGGTTGGTTAGATCTTTGACACGCTTGCCCAAATTAGATGGATGACTGATTTATTGTAATCAAGGCTTTCTAAAATTGGCTTTCAATGATATGATTACTAGTTTCTCCAACCACAGACAAAGTTTGAAAAAGTTAGTTGTTGCCCATTTCGTAAGTTTGTACTTCACCATTAAGTTTTATGTAGGTAGCGAATGTACCTTGTCTTCTAGTATTAATATCGTGGGGTTTGGGCAGTACATAACACACTATATGCGGCTTCTGCTGAGGTTATATTTCATAAATAGCCTGCTATTCTTTGAAATTTATATGAAAAGAGAAAACCAATATACGTATTGATATTATTATTTCGCATCATTTCTTAATATTAATATTTATGGGTATCGGAGACATTTGAATATATTGAAGTTACAAGTTTTGGTATGCTTTTAATCATAACATACTGCCATTCATAACAAACAAAATCCATAATAGACAAGTAAAATTTACAACTACAGAACGTCGAAGAACCCTAGATCATGGATGCATCAAAAAATTTCAATTCGTTGAGGAATGAAGTGCATACAGTTAGTATCTAATGTAAATAACAATTTCTTTTGGTGCAATTTTGTATCTAAAGTTAATTTGATGTAGAGGTAATTGAGGAAATGGTAAGTAAAAATGAAAATGATTATTGTTGAAATGCAACGACCATGAAGAACTCACTGACAAGACTTTTAAACAAGAGGTTGATTGCATTTACTTGGCTGGTTTATAATATGTAAAATAGTAAAAAATAACGATGAATTTATATTGACCTGATTCAAATGGAAGTACATTATAGACAAAAAATAAATATTTCTATTTTGTAATGCAAATCATTAAACTTTGTTTCATTCATTGATTTCATTTGATTCATTCATTTCATAATAATAATGCGTGTTCACTTCATAATGATTTCACGTTTAAATATATATAATACAAGAAATGCTCATTTTGTAGAAATGATCTGATGATCTAATGAAATAACTATGTAATAAAGTAACAACATGATGGTTAGAGTGAGAGTGAAGCTTCCTAAAATTGCGATTAATTATTTCATCCCTAATATATCACTAGAAAAGTAAGAATTGTTTGTTATATATACATCATATGGGCCAATTTGTTCGATCGGCAAAAGAAAAAAATATTAATGACACGTGGGCGTTACATTTTGATGATCATTATTTATTTTTAGATATATATAATAATTAACTGTATTACTATTATAAACGTAATTTTTGAAACGGGATTCTTTTTTATTGGTTTCTTTTTAAGTGGGATTCTTATTACTACTATATTTAAAGGTCGTAGGAGAATATCTTTACTTAGGAACACAAGAGTGATTATTATGTGTGTTATAGATTCGTGTATGATGACTTGTGATTTTAATATATAAAAATAATCAATTTTTAAATGTCACAGGATGTCGAACAAAAAAATTGGCCCGTATGATTAAATCGTAATTGTTATAATTTATGACCAATGATAAATTAGTAGGCACATGACTTGCAATTAAATTTTTTTTTACGGACAAAATTAAACAATGGAAGAAAATTATTTTTATTTTAATTCAACTAATAATAGAAAAAAACATAAATAATTATAAAAGTATAAGTTAAAAAATTTGCATGAGAGGAAAATACTCGGACCCAAAGCCATTTATAAGTATTACCTATTCTTTGGACACTCTGACAAAAACTCAACTTTTGTGATTACTACTGCTATTATTATCAATAATATTATTATTACTAATATTTATATCTTCATTTTTATTATCTTCTCTGACTTCATTCTCTATATCTTTCTTCTTTTCCTTTTCAACCCATTGCTGAATTGCTCCTAGTGTTTTTCTTCTAGGATTTGTTTTTCATTGGTAGAAGTTTTTTATTGTAGAAACAGCAATTCCCTTTCCCTCTGTAAGTAATTCATGAATTCCAATAGCCATTTCATTAAATGAAAAATCAGGATTCGACCCAGCTTTTTGTCAAATAATTGCTTGTTATCTTTCCATAGATTTTCTATTTCTTGTGAATATTGTTTATCATCAGTAAGTTTGTTTATTTTATTTTTGAGTTGGCTTTTTCTTGGTTCTATTTTATTGATTATTTGATCGATTTTTTGATTTATAATAGAGTTGATTTTGTAAGTTTTACAATGAAGTAAGAAACCAAGCAAGTGTCTGATTAACAACTCACAAAAAAGTTCACAGTTGAAAGTAAGCATTTCTTAAAATGTTATTATGGTTGTAAATATTTATTGATTATTTGTTTGTTTTTTAAACCAGAATAAAATTGTGTTTAATGGTAATTATTAGAAGGATTTGTTATTTGAATTTTTTTACCTGAAAACTAAGTGAATTAGTGATGTTTTTATAATGTTTCAATACAAGGCAAGATTATTTACCTTGTTTCAATGTAAATGAGAGAAAAACAAAGATTTATGAAACATATCCTTGAATGTAAAATTTGCTCAAACAAAAATTTTCTTTATTGATAATCATTAATTACATTTTCATAAAAAATTTTCTTTGTAGCAATAATTGGTAAAAAAACTGTCAATATTGTAATAATAAGATTATTTTTCTTATAAGAATTTCTGCTTTTTGTTGGATAATAATGCACCTTCACTCTGCTTTCTTTTCTTAATGTTTATTATTTTTCTCTCTTGGTAAATTTCATAAGTAATCTCTTCTTTCCTTAAATAGGCTTCAAGCATCTGAGTGTCAATTTATTTTGAAAATGTAAGGGGCAGTTTCCTCACCTTGTTCCTTTTTCAAGATACTTTTAATTGTGCTATAATTATTGGGTTCCATGGTAGACCTAATGTAAATTAACTTCATATCAATTATTTTTATATGGGGGTAGTTCTATATATCACTTAATATTAAGAAAAAACAAATATAACAAATGGGGATTTTAATAATCACATTACTAAATTTTTGAACCCTGAAATTGTTAGTAATACCAATGTTCACTTTGTCTGGTTTTGTTGCAGCATGTCCCATATAATAAAAATAAAATTTTAAAATTTATAATAGAAAGCTTTTTTATCAGGATTTTGAACATGTTGAATGATGTTTTCAAGTATATACTTCTTTCTATCAGGAACTAAACCTAAAGGATATTTTTCTTCTAAAACAGCATCTATATAGTAAAGTTTTTAGTTATGTCTATAGCTATAAGTTCACCATCAATGCTTTTTTAAACATGTATAATCCCTGGTTCTTCTTGATTAAAAATAAAATGATGATACTTTAAGATATTTGGCAATGGCTTAAAAAATTTTTTTAAATATCCAGTCCAGTAGTGAAAAGTAACTTTTTTTTCTCCATTTTCATCATAAATTGTCTGAGCATTGGTAAAATACAATATCACAGTGTTGATGCTACTGCTCATTATAGTTATGATTGAGCTCAAAATGTTCATGTGCCACATTTAGATCAACAAGTAAGTAAAATTTATTATCTTAGTCCATGTAAAGTTCATTTATTTGGTATTCAAGATGAAGCAGTAAGGGAACAAATTAATTATGTCCTTAATGAAAATGAAATTATAAGAAAAGGCCCAAATGGTACACTTAGTCTGATTTTTGATGGAATTAAAAAATTGAATAAGGGTGAAAAGCATTTAAAGGTTACTTGTGATAATGCTGGTGGACAAAATAAAAATAACACTACTATTTGATTTTATTTATATTTAGTAATTTGTGGTTATTATGAAAGTATTGAATTAAATTTCATGATTCCTGGACATACTAAAAAACTCTATAGAAGAACAAGAGTAGATTGCCTAGATCATGTGGTGGAGGTAATAAAAAAGTCTAGTCCAGCAGGATTGAACAAATTTCAGTGTTATGAAGGTGGAAAAGGTTTTCAATACTTAGATATTAAAGCCATTTTGAGAATTTATTTTAAAAAATTACCAATCATCCAGAAATATCAACATTTTCTTTTGAAGCAATTAATTTTGGTGTGGTCAAAGCTCAGGAAATTGCTAATGGACCTTTTGTTGAATTCAATTTATTGAAAACTAAGAAAACAGATATTTTTGAAGAAATTAAATCTTTATCTATTTTAGTGTTAACACCACCTCCTTTGGATTACAAAAGGCAAGAATATCTTTACCAGAATATTTGCCCATTTGTGAAAGATGAATACAAAGATATTACTTGCCTAAGACCAATATATACTGGAAATAAATAGAATATTTAGAATAAAATCACCTCTATGACTTCTTACCATTGCGAGCGTGCGAATTCAATTACAGCTCGGGTTGTGTCCAATAAATATATAAGATAAAATAAATAAAAAGTCCAATAAATATATATAAATTTCCCTGATTACGGCACACAGCTCAGGGTCCTCAATCCCGACCTCTGATTACGGCACACAGCTCAGAGTCTTAAATTCCGGCCTCTGATTATGGCACACAGCTCAGAGCCTATCTATTGTGCAATTTCTCTACAGTACTAATAGAAGTACTGCTGGCCTAAAAATGATAAATAAAATAAAAAGAATATATACAAGAA